ATCATTTTTTTTCAAATTCCAAACTAAAAAATGTTGAACGATTTTGATTGTTATTCTCAGCAAAACTTTTTCTATTTTAAAGTTTCTCAGTTAAATCAATTTCGCGTTTTTAAGTAGAAAATTTTGACATGTTTTTTTATATAATTAAATATGTATTGTTGTCTTGACCGCAAGCTGAAAAAGATTATTCAAGAGGCTTCAAGATTGCCAATTTGGCCAGTTTGGGACAAAACTTTAACGCTTAAGCGCAGATTCCATTCGTTAATCCGTCTTAGATAATGCTCCCAATTGAATTTAGGCACGCTTCTTGGTCCATTTATCTTTTTGATTCCTGTCATTTATCAATTTGTGATTTACATAGCGTGTGGGGGATGATTTAAAAAAATCTCACAAATTTTTGAAAATTTTTCATTTTTTTTGTCAAAATATTCATCATTTTTTTTAAAGCGAACACCACTCCGTAGTCAGTCGGATTATTTGAGTTGCCATGATTCGAGCAGTCTCGTTCATTGAGTTGATTCGATTGCGGTCAAGAGTTTACTTGAAAGTGAAAAATGTCAGGAGCAGAGCGTGTCTTTGATCAACTCAGTTGTTTTAACAAATAAACCCACAGACAATTGACATAGAATCATTCGCAAAAAAATTCGGACAGGCAAAATTAATCAGTAAGAGCAATCTGCCAATTGATAACAAAAACCACGCAAATTTTATATTTTATGCGACCTTGAGTCAAAATCTGTCTGAAAAGTTAGTTTTTGCGCATACAATTTTCTAAGTTAGCTCATGTGCTCTTTTCAAGCAATTCTGTCTGTCCGAAAGTTTTGCAACTCTCTAGATATTAATCTCTATGATACATGACACATCTATTAGCTACAAACTTTTCACTCATTTTTTGTACTGATTTTTTTAAAACTCTAGAGAGAAATTAAAAATTTCATTTCCACTCAAAAACACTCAAATGGGTCAACTAGTCTGGTTTGGGAAAAGTGATTTTCAAATATGGGCCACCCCTGTGCAATATGCCCTCGCCCCTAGTCAAAGAAGTCTGCCATAAAATATGTTTAGAAAATAGAATCCCCATTAATTTGGTCATCCGCCCATGTCTAGTTGACCCAGTTTAAAAGACAGTTAGTGAAGGTAACAGAGTAATTATAAGTTGATAACAAATTTTCAATCAGTTGAGGCTGCCCATTTCAAATCGAACTGAAGTCAGTTTTTCGCTGTAAAAGCTATAGTAAGCTGACCTTGCTAAACAAAGGAAGCAACAAAGATATAAAATTAGAGGCGATTTTTTATAACTTCTTCGTGATTATTCCCGCGGTTTTAACAACTCCGAATTCTCTTTGCGGCTTTGCTTACTCTATTTAAGTAAAAATCTCCAAATTTTAAATTGGTTTCTTGGCCGCAATGAAAGTATTGAAAGGTCAAAGTGTCGAACAAATGATGAACGTTACACCACCAATTTAATTTTAAAAGCAGTAGTTGAAATTCATCAAACGAGCTCTAAATAAAAATTGGAGTTAATTTAAACGGAGAAAATTGATGAGAAACGCAACTTTTTTTAAAAAAAATAAATTTTTAAGTGGCGACTAAAATTTGTTATCAACCACGTTAGAGTTATTTAACAGACTGAGGTGAAAAACAGCAGCGCACAGGTCAAATTCAAGGTCAAGACAATGATCAGAGATAGAGATCAAGACTGGTCAGTCAGTAGAATACAATACAGTACTAGATTATTACAGCATAGAATGTGTAAATTGTAATGTATTGTAGCGTGGCTTACAACTAGCTGTAAGTGGTATTCATCTACGTCTGGAATCTGCGAAACAGAGCAAACAGGAGACAGATTAGCGGGCATGGTAGTCAATCAATTTTAAAGGCAACCTCCATATATGGTAGCACTAGCGCATAGCAAAAGTTTTGGATCCAAAAAACACACTGGCAAGCTTAATTTCGATGAACCAAATTTTTCTCCCAAAATATAGAAAAAAATTAAGCAAAAAATTTTTTTAACGCGAAATTTATTCAAAAACTTTTTAGTATTTTCTAGTCTGGCCATTCAGTCTTTTAAAATTGCAAGATTCTTGAATTAATGTAGCGCGCCAATCAAGTTAAGTGAGCAGAATAACTGCTAAAATACGGTTCCCAACTTTTTGCAATCCATTTTGTGGATTCATGCTTGATTCAAAGTGGAGCAAAGGGTCTTAATAGTCATTGCAGATTTTTGAGGTCAAAATAAAAAAAGTAGATCCCAAGCTAATTTTTTCTTCAATTTGACACCTTAGAGCAAAAGCGTTTTGGCTACTTATTTTTACTATATAGTTAATGAAACTCTAACTTTCGTAGCTAAAAAAATAAAAAGTTATAAGGGCAGGGATCATATCTTATTTGCCTTTTCCATTTTTTCTCAATTATTTTTTTTCAACTTGACATCATTAAAGTGCAGGATGACCATTGATGTAAACTGAAGTAAACTGTTGGGTAGAGTCAAAATTGATATCAAGAGTGTAACAAATAATTTGAACAAACCCCGATTAAGACAGTCTGAAACATCATATGAAAGCTGAACAAACATTTCAACCAAAAATGACATAGCATAAGAATGATGAACAATCAATGTATCTGTAACTAACAAGCAACAGATGGCATGCAGCAACTCGACGTGGAAAAAAATTGTTTAGGCTCACAATTTTTTTGGATAGTCTTCGATAGTTTTTAGGTTCAACGACTTTTTTTAACCTTTTTTTACAATCATGCCAAAGCCTAACATTTAATAGTACTTAGTCGCTTTCAAAAAAAGTGTTCACAGTTGGGCTAAAGTTTTCAGAAATTGAGCCAAAACTACATTAACTATTCAAATTAGATCTAAATAAACGTGCAAACTGGACGCTCAAAAGTAGCATCTAACACTTAGAGACATCAACTCTCCAGGTTAAACACAGATGCAGAAGCTATACACAGCTAATGTTGCTAAATAAAAGTTACAAGGAACAACGGAAAAATTCAGTAAAAAAGACACAAAAGTATGTAATGAAATGTACCACAATTTCGAAGAAACACAATCAAAAACTTTGATAGATCAGATATATTTTTTTGTGTCTTTCATTTGAATCACTTTTTTGGCATGTGTGCATGACAGGTTAAATAAACTGTGAATGGTTAAAAAAGGTGAAAACAGACATGAAAACAGACGGGTTTACGTGCAATAATGAAGAGTCAAATCATGCAAGCCTGGACGCGAACCCAAAAGTTTATCGGAACGTCATCACCGGAACCTTTTAGATACCCACTAAAACTACCGCCTTCTTTCGACAACTCATTTTGTCAAAAATTGACTGTGGACAAACTCACTTCTCAGAAAAAGACTTATGATCTAGTTACAAACAGCCGAGCATATCTGTATCAATCCAAATTGGGATAACTAGAAATGACACCCGGAAACGAAACCAGAAACTTTGTACTAAGTAAAGAGAAAAACTCCAAACCAGCTGGCTATTTTCATTTTAAAAATGGATTTCATAAAACATTGCCAGATTATTTTCTACAAGTTCAATTTTAACCAAAGAAGTCAATTTCCAATCGATTTCGTTTGTATGGGTATTTTTTAGTATGTGCAAATGAGTTACGTAGCAGTATTTAGACAACCGCGTATTCCTATTCGTCAGTAAGCAGACAAATACTATATGAGCCAATCAGAATCGAGATGAGAAAGCAAACTTTCAAAATAAATAACTTCTATTTATTAATGTCTTCCCTGTCTCGATTCTGATTGGTTAAAACAGTAATTGTCTGCTTACTGACGAGTAGGAATATGCGGTTGTCTAAATACAGACAGCACTCCGAGCAAATGACTAAAAGACTATCAATACCTCTTGACAGCAGTAATAATATGCTGGAAAATCAAAAGTATGGGAAAATTTATTTTCTTAACTTAAGAACTGAAACAGTCGTGTATTTAAGTTAGTTTTTTCTTCGGCGTTTTAGGACCATGACACCATGATAGATTTGCTTTGCAAATTAAGCACCTCAAAGTGATGTTTGCGTTAGCCAGTCACTGAAAAGGATGAAAAAGGTTACCAACAGCAACTAAAGGTCAAGAGAAGCCAGTTCAGGTCAAGGAAGATCACGTTAATTCAGTTCAATTTTGGTGCGAACAGATTACCAGGGGTCAAATTATCATTCTGTGCGACATAAGACAGATATTGGAAAGTATGCGAGCCCACGTGTAAATATTAACTCAGTTTTGAAGAAGGGACGGGCATCGTATGTTTAATTTCTTTTCAAAACAAAATTGTTCTAATATAGCTTGAGATCGGAATGCATGAATTTTTACAGAACTGAAACTAGATTTTGATCCAATATTGAGTTGCTAGTGATATATATGTTTGAGAGAAATCAGGTGTTTTTGTTGTTATGGAAGCTTTTACAAATTAAAACACTAATAAAAGCATGAATAATTTGTTGTTTCCGTTCATAAAAGTCATTGCATGATTTTCTCAAAATTCTCAACAAAATTTTTAGCTATATCCAAGTTTTAAAATTCTATAACTGTTTTTTTGTCGGTTTTTGATGTGGTTTTTGAACACTAAATGCTATGGAAAATAATCAGTGTAACCAAAAGATCACTAGAAAGGTGCGTCAGGTAGAATACATCTACGTGTATTTTGACTTTTTATATATTATTTGGAAATGACTGCATTAGGATCTAGTTGGGTTAATTTGTTGATGGTGCATGTTAGTTCAAATCGTTCAGGATTCTTTGCTATTCCCAGTGAGAGTTATTAGATAAAAGTCAGGGAGCTTCAATTGGCGAAAGTTAAGAAGAGCGTATCAAAGCATTGCTTAAAACAGTTGAAAAAAGCATGACTTGAGATCTTTTGGTTTAACTCCATACTCTGCTTAACTTTAGCCAATGATACTACTGGAGGGACGAGTGAGTGGGAAGAGGGGGAGTTATTGGCGGAGGGGGATGGGGGGAGGGAGGGAGGGGGTTGACTTACATCGTTTGAGAACCCCTCGACCAGAATTGCGACTAGTAGGTTGAACAGAATGTAATTTCCGAATGTCATTAGAGCCACAAAGTAGATGGCGGCCGAGGGGTGTGTGTAAGACATGCCATTGTACAGCACCAGGTACCACGCCTCCTGTGTCAGGATCTGCAGCAGCCCAACACATCACAACACAATACACACAGCAACACAACATTGCCTTCTCTACCAACCAATTTCCTCACACTTCCTTTCAAAGATGTATAAATTATATAGTAAACTTTACCCGCAATGTAATGACATTTCGCACAATGAAAGAAAAAACTAACCTGATCTTATTTGCTCTTTACATCTTACCGATGAAATCTCGCATACAACCGTAACTTCAACCGTAACTTCTAGGAAAATTCAAAATTATGCAATGTTCGGGGAAAGAGCCCAATAGATGAAACCAGCCTTTTTCCTGCAGATGCACAATGGGACATCGTACCAATGATATTTAACCACCAATCCCAAGATTACAGGATCAAAACTCTCGGTTGCCTTTCGGAGTACACCCTGATCAGGTCGAGGTTTGAGATTTATGCTTCGACTATCAAGTTCTAAGTAGGAATTGACCCAAACAGTTCGACTGTTTCGCCTAGAGTCGACTATGTTTCTGGTGTGATCAGCCGAGGACTAAATTTGACAGTGATTTTTTGAATGAACCCCTTGCCGAGAAAAGATAACGAATCGTAACGTCATCTGTGTTTAATGGAAAAAATTATTTGATTTTTTTTCGACCAAAACAGCCAAAAAGTTTTCTATTCATTGTGGTCAAGGGATTAGAAGCTTTGTTGGAATGCGCCATAACGGGCTGCCAGTTTAATCGTTTTGATTTCTCGTTTTCTTGCCAGATTTTGTCGTTTGCTTTTTTACAAGATCAAAATTTTAATATGTAGATAAGTTTATTGAAGGACAAGCATCCAGCCGGGCCAAAAATTTAATCATTTTGTTGTTCCGATTATTAAAAAGGGGAACTGTATTCTTGAGTGTTTTCGTTTTCTATTCGGTTTTTCTTTTCCCCCGTGCTAAATCAGGTAACACAAAATATCTTCGGAATGGGTCGAGTAATATATCATACTAAAGCCCTTTCAGTCGGGAGAATTTTACTATTTAGAAAAACTGGATTTACATTTTTGAGTCTTAGTCTGCTTGCTCGTAATTTGGCTTAGAGGTTTCATTTAACTAGTAAAATACTAAAATTTTCTACGAAAAAACTAATTAAAATAAAACATTCAACGCTTACTTAGCAACAAAAGGTTTTTAAAAAGTTAAAAACTTATTCTGCCAATTTGAAAAAAATTTTGAAATTTCTTTCTGAATATTTTAAAGATTTTTTCTTGCTTTTCATTTTTCGAGTAGAATCGTTGTCAGTTATGTCTAACCTCTAATGCTCTATGCTAGTCAAATTGTATTTTTTATTGAATTTGGTTGAAACATTCTATGCTATTAGCTTTGCAACGAGCTATTCTTTTTTAGACTGCGTTTATCGAAAATCGAAAAATCAAATGAAGCTGATAAACCAAGTCTCGCTTGCGTTTATGGTTCCACTTGTTGTTTTTACATTGATTCACTTCAGCGATTTTAGCAGACTTGTGTTGCTGAATAGTAAATCTTTCGCTCTGCAAAAAAATGGCAACAAGTTCTACTGAAAAAGATTGATAGGATAACCAATACAAGTATCAAAAGTTTGCAGGTTCTGTGCTTCTTCCATTCTTACTATGTTTCCACTTGTTGTTTTTTACATTGATTCATTTCAGCAATTTTAGCAGAGTTGTGTTGTTGAATAGTAAATATTTCGCTCTGCAAAAAAATGGCAACAAGTTCTACTGAAAAAGATTGATAGGATAACCAGTACAAGTATCAAAAGTTTGCAGGTTCTGTGCTTCTTCCATTCTTACTATGTTTCCACTTGTTGTTTTTTACATTGATTCATTTCAGCAATTTTAGCAGAGTTGTGTTGTTGAATAGTAAATCTTTCGCTCTGCAAAAAAATGGCAACAAGTTCTACTGAAAAAGATTGATAGGATAACCAGTACAAGTATCAAAAGTTTGCAGGTTCTGTGCTTCTTTCATTCTTACTATGTTTCCACTTGTTGTTTTTTACATTGATTCATTTCAGCAATTTTAGCAGAGTTGTGTTGTTGAATAGTAAATATTTCGCTCTGCAAAAAAATGGCAACAAGTTCTACTGAAAAAGATTGATAGGATAACCAGTACAAGTATCAAAAGTTTGCAGGTTCTGTGCTTCTTCCATTCTTACTATGTTTCCACTTTTTGTTTTTTACATTGATTCATTTCAGCAATTTTAGCAGAGTTGTTTTGTTGAATAGTAAATATTTCGCTTTGCAAAAAAATTGGCAACAAGTTTTACTGAAAAAGATTGAAAGGATAACCAGTAGAAATATCAAAAGTTTGCAGGTTCTGTGCCACTTGCAGGTTCTGTGCTACTTACTGAAAAAGATCAAAAAGATAACCAGTAAAAGTATCAAAAGATTGCAGGTTCTGTGCTACTTGCATACTTATTGAAAAAGATTGAAAGGATAACCAGTACAAGTATCACAGAATCTGCCAACCTTATTCCAACTGCAAAATTTTTGTAAAACTCCGCTTTTTTGGAAAGCGAGAGATTCATCATTCAGCGGTGAATGAACTCTGACGTACGGCTAATCTTTTTTTTCCAGCCCATTTTGGCTGCTTCAAGGAAAGCTTGTATGGGGTCAAAACAAGTATCTTTTTCAAACCCTATTGTTCCGAGTCATAATTCCGATTCTAAAAAATCATTTCTAAAAGAAAATCGTATCAGTCTTGTGAAAAATTGGTATGAATATTTTTGTTTTACAGACTAAACGTCACAAAAATTACAATTGACAGGTTGAGAAACTGTATTCTCAATTCATTTTGATGACTTCTAAAATAATTTTAGCTATTTTTACATCATTTTACAAGTTTTTAACCGTTTTGATCTGCCATTTACTGAAAAAAAAAAGTGCACAAAAAGTAACAAGTTTTTGAAACTTTTTAAAAGTTTCTTCTCATTTTTGATTTTTTCCACTACTTTTTATAATTTCAACATTCTGTTCTTCTTTCAATGTAACCTGTTAATTTCTTTGTTTTAATTTAAGTTTATGAACAAATATTAACTTTAACTTTGCATAGAAAAAACTTTCTCAAATACTGCTCGAGATGTTTATTAATTAACTAAAAACATTAATGTATGTCACTTTTTTGGAAAAAAAATCAAAAATCTCTGAGATGTGTACAAAATAGAAATTTTGACCGAAAATTCCGAGAATTATAATTATGGTTTTTGAAGTAGTTTCAGAGCAAAAGACAAAACGCTTAATTTTTTTTTGAAAATTACATTGAAATTGAAGTTTTCAACCCTCTAACTGTAATTGACGCTTACTTAATTTATACAATAACTATTCTGGAACACTGAACAACCATCAAACTGTCATTTAAAACCAGACAAATATAAAACAAGCTTCAATTGCGAAAGTTTGAGCCGATTGACGTTTGCGTTTATCTCGCAATCGAAAGTCGAAAATCTATTTCAAAGAAGTTTCGATCTTATATGTTTTCTGGTTTTAAAAAACGCTTTGTACATTAACCTGTTGATCTCCTCTACAAATCAGAACAACAAATTTCAAAAAGAAGCAGCCATTTCTCCACCTACGTGGACTCTCAACATCTTAGAATACCACTTCACATCAGACAATATAATGACCCGCGAGAAAAAATCATTCTACTGAACTTTTACTCCGTTCCTCAACATCGCCTCCAAAGATTACGCATCACTATGTAACAACGACAGTTTTATGCTCGTGAATCAATAAAAGATGATGTAACAATAATGAGGGATACACATCGGGCGCAAGCATACGAAAAAAAGCGTCGAAAATGCCGATCATTCCGCATACTAACAAGCCCATTCCGATATCGCGCAATTCTAAACAATGCAAAAAGGACAAAGACAGCAACACGCCAGCTCATGGCTGCAACTAGCTTGAGTCAATTAGCATAACACTCAATTGGCAAAAAACCTACGTGTTTAAGATGTTCAAATCAGAAGTAACACTGTTCTGGCATCAATTAATTATTCTGATCTTTCGAGGTTTTTCAAAAATGCTGATTGAGTCTTATGCTTAACCGGAACGATTGCGCAATGAAAACACGAACTCGAATGACATGAATCACTCAATGTTGCAAAAGCAAACGTCGCATGATCAAATCTCGGGAACACTTTCATGACATCAAAGAAGCAACAATGTGAGCGCTGGTGGCAGGGTGGGGACTTGCAGTGATTGACAGAGTCCCTGTTTTCGAAAAGGGGGAGAGGGTTTGGGGAGATTTTACCTCTTTGTACCCCTCCATAATGAGGGCGACGAGTAGGTTCTGTAGGATGTAATTTCCGAAGGTCATGACGACCACGTAATATAGACAGGAGTAGGGGCCTACGCTTTGCATCGAGGTGTACATTAACATTTGCCACTCCTCTCCCGTCAAAACCTACACGGTGACAAATAGGAGCAATAGATATGACCTTCAACTGTGTATCCGTCGAACACTTTATCATTCAGACTATCGATAAAGTCCTTTTAATCAATCAAAACAGCGATCACACAAACAACCAGCCTATTTAACTGTTTATAAGTAGAGATGCTTTACTTAGCTCTTGCCATTAGAAAAAAAAAAGAAAAATAATAAATTTTTCTTAAAATATCATGAGTCATTTTTCTTATAACTCAACATACTTACCCTCGCCCGACTCTCAACCTTTTTGAAATCATTGTACCCGACATACAAATAGCACTGACTCAACCCACTCTAAACTTTTATCTCCGCGACATTTTGAATATATTATAAGTTAGTATTTAGTCTTTATAACTTAATAAGGGGGTTGCGTGTACAGTAGGATTAGTAAAAATTGTTTCAATAAGGGGCGTATAGTTAGGTTGTGAGGCCTTGAACCTTGAACTGACCTGGAAGACGGTGATTACAGCCCAGAGGAGACTGTCGAAGTTCTTCCGGTCGCACTCCCTGTGTCCCGTAACTGCATCCACATCACAGAATTTACACCCGAACAGATGCATGCCCAAAATGCTGAAACGAAAAAAAAAACTTTTATTTTTCGGTTAGGAGGCGGAAAATGCGATAAAAGAGAATTTTACAAATACTACTAATAACAATTTACAAATTGAGCACTAGAAACGTCCATAAAAGATTGTTCTACAAATTAAAAAACCGCCAAACTTTCTGATTAAAGAGAGATTATGAAAGCGGCCATGACTCTGGGGTAGCTGACAAAAAGAAGGATGCTCAACTAGAAAGATCGAATTCTTAAACCTAACTGTTCTTTTAAACTGACCTAAATATGAACATGAATAGCATAAGAAGTCCAAAGAAAGTGGCCACGTTGTCCATCGTCTTCAGCATCACCAGCAGTTGTCGTCTGAGAGCAGGCATGAATCGCACCAGCTTGAGAACTCTCAACAGTCGGAAAGTGCGGAGAACAGAGAGACCCGAGGAGCCACCAGAGGATCCCTCTGACCCGTCCCCTCCGCCACCGCCGAACAGTTCAATTAGGCTACAACATTAAGAATGACAGATTTGGACTAGTACAGCTGAAAGTTTTAAAATTATGTGCATCGAAGTTTCGTTTGTCCATAGATCGGGAAAATTTAAAACGAGCAACGGTATACTAAATTTTGAGAGGGCGCCAAAAATGCAAAATTGTGTTCGAAAAGTCCCAAAAACAGCTTTTTGGGCACGCTTTCTCATAAACGAGGCGCAGCAGTTTCTTTTTATCAAAACAAATTTTTTTAAAGAAATTAAGTTTGAAAAAGGCCGACCCTTATTTCCGGAAACAATTTCTTTTATCAACACTTTCTCTTAATCTTCTGCCAGTTAGTATTGATAGAATACATATTAACTGAAATATTTAATGATAACGAATAGTTGCTAACGATTTAACCCTACGGTCTTATGATGATGCAATAAGTCAATATTTGCTATGGTAATGACACCTGATGATGACGATGAATCCATCGAATAGGTTGTATCCGTTCTTCGCATAGCCCAACACTCCATGCACCCCCACTTTGATAAGCATCTCCAGAGCGAAAATGAGGGAGAATATCAAGTTACTAGTCTCCACTATCTCAGTCAGCCAGTCCGGCTAAAAACAACCAAAAATGATTTAAAGTAATTCAAACTTTTCACACTTCAAACATTTCCGACTCTTCAACTTTTAAATTTTTCAAACATTTCCGACTCACCCTCTACAAGATTTTACAAAAACCTGGGGTTTTACAAAAACTTCAGGTTAAATGTAGGACTTAATCAATGTTCAAAAGTCATTTGCAATATATCTCCACTTGCAGTTTTTTTAAGAACTGACCTGCAGATGGAATTCGATGGCCATACTCATGGTGTTTAGGAGGATGCAGAGGAAGATGCCATACATGAACATGTCCGAGTCCACCCACCCACGAACTCGCAGGAAAGCTAAAATAGAGAAAGTTCCGTAAGTTCCGAGTTCAGATTTTTCAAAAGTTGTTCGTGTTATACAAGAACTCTTACAACAATAACTGAATTGCATGTCAAATTCACGTTAGTTCGATAGACATCTTTTTCATTCTGAAGAGAATTTTCTGTCACTATATCTTTTCAAGAGGATCGAAATTCCAACTAATGTGATCTATGAGACTAAATATTATGGTCAATGAAAAGTCTCAGACTTGCCTTTTTCGTATCTGGATACTTCATGTTGTGGGATGCTGACGTCACTAAACCTCCACTGCTGGCTGACATCTGAATCAAAATCATACAACAATAATGCCAATCATAGCTAAATATGTAGAACTCATTTTTTTTCAATGTTTATCTGGCAGTACAACAATATCGATCTTTTAACGTCTTGCCATCAAATTACGAGCTAATTTTTTTTGTTTTTCTCTAACGTTTTCGTGCTGACTGCTGGTTAGAAGTTTGTTTCTCTCTTTCCTCTTGATCTCTGATCTGTTTGTACGTATGCTGTTCGTCCGGCCCCTCGGAACATCCGTGGCTACCCGAAGAATCTCCAATCGGGACCTGAACTGGATCCTCCTCCCACATCTCAGAAATGCGGTTGTTCTCGTGTCGGTTTGGACTCCCTTCGTGATGATTGTTGGGATTTCTGCTGTGGTTGAATCGGCTGTTATCAAAGCTTTGAAGAGACGTCTAAAGACACATTTCGAGTTTAAAATGAACAGCTAGAATTGTTTTTAGTTTCTTTTCAGTTTTTGCTCATAAAACTTTCATATATGGCCTAAAAAAGGTAACCTCAAAGAGCACTCGCATGGAATCGAACCGAGTGTGACCTCATATTAAAGCCTTTATAGAAAACTGAAATTTAATATGAAACAAAAACGAGTTTTTAAAATCACCGTTTCCACCGATTAAATCCTTTTATCAGACTGATTTTCAAAATGGAAGCGGTGATTTTAAAAACTCGATTTTGATTGAACCAAATATCAAAAGCTCTAGATAAAATTCTGATAACTTTAAAAAGTCTTGCTTTGAATTTCAGAAAAAAAAATCTAAAAAAATTTTGGTTTTTCACTATTGTGTTATTCATTTTGCAAAGACACCTGGTGTCAAATAAGGCCAGTGTTTTTGCCTAAGTCGACGCTTATTTTTTCTCCCCAAACGCACAAAAAAACGACCTTAATCTGAGAGAACTAATGAAAAATTGTTTTGTTGTCAAAGTTAAAAAACACAAGCTTGAGCCGACGCAGAAGTTAAATGAATCTGCTGAAGCGCAAATAAAAACTACAGTCGAAGTCTTCTGTGAAACTTGCACAGCAACTAGCTACATTTGTTATTTCATCTTTCAAAAAAAGTGGCGGATCTTTTTCTTGGAGTGTTTTTTTTTTCAGTCAATGCTAGTATTTTTAATTGAGCGTTTTTGACATTTTTTATGCCATCTGAAAGATATTATTGCCTGGATCTCAATGTAGACAAGACTGCTCGCATATCAAAGTAGAGTCCTGAAAAACCCGATTGTCACTTAAATGTTCTCAAGATAAACTAAAAATTTTTAACTTCCGTTAAATCAAGTATAAAGAGCTGAAGTTTAAGTCGTGCAAAACTACTAAGATATTTTCCCAGGTTGACCACCATTCAACAAAAAGAAAAAAACTACAACAAGACTGCTCGTATCAGGGCAAAGCCCTGAATGTTCCGACAGCCTTTTCAGTTTTATCGAGCAGTAGTAACATTAAAAAAATTAAATATAATAAAAAAAATGAAAATTTTTTTTTCTAAAATTTGAAATTTTTTAAATGAAATCATCCCTCCACACGCCATATAAAGTTTAAAAGAATAGACTTTGCTCATTGTAACAAAACAATTATGGCAAATAAGCTTCTTTCAACCAATGTGGAACGATTTAGAAGACGGATTAACTCTCCTCTTACGCGTTAATAGCGCGAAATATATCGCGCGTTAATTGTCCCAAATTAGCCAAAATGGCAATCTTTAAACCCCCATAACTTTACGAAAAATGATCACAGGTGAAATATCTTTTCAAATTTGAGCTCAGGACAACAATACCTTTCGAATGATATAACAGAAATTCCGTCAAAAATGGCTAGATAAAAAGTCAAAATTTGTCTGAAGAAAAAAAAAAACCCACGACGAGCACAAATACTCCGTCTCTTTCGTATCGAAAGTCGGAACAATAACCTATACGGAACTTGCGAAAAAAATAAAACTTGCTAACAATGGGTTTGAAACTTGCTAACAATTTTTCTTTATGAAAAGTGTATAACTATCTTTTTTGGGTAATTGAGAGTCTTTTTGAGTATTATAGAGTACTTTTAGGAAATGTCACTTTTTGAAAGTTGAAAATTTAAAAAAAAACCCAAAAAAATAATATCATATTTTCTGATCTCGAAATCAGTTCAGTACAAAAACACTATGAATTTTTTGTCTATAACGCAAGCCAGTTGCTCAAAAATTTCTAAAAAAACCCATTCATCTAAATGGTTTTCACATATTTGGCAATCGCTTTTTTTACTCGATTGGTACCAACGCTTTGGTCTAGTTAAAATTACACAAATATATAACGGCGTAAAACGTAGCTGAATTTTTTGAACCTGATTGTAAATAATTAGGCAATTTTTTCATACAAAATTTTAGAGATAGGTTCTACACCTTGACATTACCTCACAATACTATATATCTGTGAGATTTAAAATGTCGTGTTGAACTATGGGTATCTTTTATCCAGGTTACTGTAGTTAGAAAAAACCCAGCGATACACAAACAGAGACAGAACTAAAAAAACGGAAATAAAAAAAAGAAAGCTAGTCATACTTTTCCCATATGCAGAATTCTATTCTTAAATTCTTGTAACTAAAAATTTCTACTTTTATAGTTTTCATGCAACTTGTAAGTGTTCCATATGAGAAACGTATGACTAGCATTTTCAGTCGTCTCATGTTAGTACTGAACTAAACTTGAAACAATTATCAGTGTTAACTTGCCACACTTAAATACTTTGCCTATTATCAATTGTTAAACAAGCCGGTGTTTCGCACTTAAGCCCGCTCGGTTTTTTTTTCAAATCTAGTGTGATTCCTCCATCGTTGCCAAAATTCCGTGGTAAATTTTTCCAAATAAATTACAAACCAGTTCTTGCATAATTATTCATTACTTTCTCCAAAAAGCAAAACCAAAAAATTCATCTGTGATCTCTTGTTGTTAAGTGGGTTTGAAACTTGCTAACTTGATCAGTTTGGGATAATTAACGGGCGATAACTTGCGGTCTTATTAGATGCGTAAGCGGCAATTTAAACTGAGTCAAAATATAATGAGACAGTTTATTAAATTTTTACATCAGTTTGTACTCAACATAGCATGTGGGGTATAAAATTAGGACAGAAAAAATTTTTTCTTTCTTTTTCGATTATTTGATCATTCTTTCAGCCAAATTTTTGTTCCGACTTTCGATACGAAAGTAACGGAATATTTGTGCTCGGGGTGGGTTTTTTTTTCTTCAGACAAATTTCGACTTCTTAACTAGCCATTTTTGACGGAATTTTTTTATATCATTCGAAAGCTATTGTTGTCCTGAGCTCAAATTTGAAAAGATATTTCACCTGTGATCATTTTTTGTAAAGTTACGGTGGTTTAACGATTGCCATTTTGGCCAATTTGGGACAATTAACGCGCGATTTATTTCGCGTTATTAACGCGTAAGCGAAGAGTTAATCCGTCTTAGAAATCGTTCCAAATTGGTTAAAAGAAGCCTACTTGCCATAAATGGTTTGTTACAAGGAGCAAAATCTATCCTTTTGTACTTTATATGGCGTGTGGGGGGATGATTTTTATAAAAAAAATTTCAAATTTTAGAATTTTTTTTTTCCATTTTGTTTTATTTCATTGAATTTTTTAATGTTTTTACTGCTCCATAAACCTTAAAAGGCAGTCGAAACATTCAGGGCTTCGCCCTGATACGAGCAGTCTTGTTTTATTTGTCTGTAAGCTGCAGTCGCAACTTCCACTCTGATATAAGAACAGTTTTGTTTTAGTTTTAAATGGTTCATGTATTATTGTTCCGAATTTCGATACGAAAGCAACGGAATATTTGTGCTCGGGGTGGGTTTTTTTTTCTTCAGACAAATTTCGACTTTTTAACTAGCAATTTTTGACGGATTTTTTTATATCATTCAAAAAGTATTATTGTCCTGAGCTTTTATTTGAAAAGATAATTCACCTGTGATCATTTTTCGTAAAATTATGAGATTTTAAAGATTGCCATTTTGGCCATTTTGACCAATTTGGGACAATTAACGCGCGATATAATTCGCGCTATTAACGCGTAAGCGGATATTTAATCCGTCTTATAAATCGTTCCAAATTGGTTGAACGAAGCTTATTCGCCATAATTGATTTGTTACAAGGAACGAAATATATCTTTCTGTACTTTATATGGCGTGTGGGGGGATGATTTTCATAAAAATTTCAAATTTTAGAAAAAAAAATTCATTTTATTCTATTTCATTTAATTTTTTTTTATGTTATTGCTGCTGCTCCATGAACCTTAAAAGGCAGTCAGAACATTCAGGGCTTTGCCCTGATACGAGCAGTCTTCTTTGGTTTTTGTTCTGATTTGCAAAGTCTTCTACTTTTTTCTTCGGAGAAACTTCGACTTTTTAACGAGGACTTTTAAACTATTTTTGAATGGAGTTATTCTTTGGTTATATTAAAGCGTAAGCGGCAACTTAATCCCTCACAAATTGTTCTTATTCGATATGAAGCAAGCTAAGTGGGGCTTTTAAGAACCTGAGAAAAGAATAATACGATTATGTGCTTTACATAGCGTGTGGGAGGAATATTTAAAAAAAAAAAGACTTCCGAATTATTTTCAAACATTTGTTTCGAAACTTTATAAATTTTAAAATTCTTAAAGGATGATTTATTCCTGAATTCTTATGGAGCAGTCGGAACATTCAGGAAATTGTCTTGATACGAAAAGTCTTGTTCAACTAGAAAAGCTTTTGATTGACTGACCTACCGTTTTTTCCTAGATGCGCGTAGCTCAACATATGCTAAAGCTGCAAGCGCACTCGAAAAGGAAGAAATGTTTTCATGAATATTTTCCCATAGCGGCCGCTATAATGCTTCCTGGAAATACTTGCTGCTAAGCGCGTCGTGCGAAGTAGCGTTAGATATAATTTTGAAAAATAAGTTGATAAAATTAAGTGAACAAAACTTTCAAAAATGTTTAATTTCCCCCTTAAACCTTCTCGTCTAGCTAATACCCGAAATCCGGGCCCGATTATTAGCTTGGTAAGAAAACTAACGCGATAAAAGTTTAGCAGCAAAAAAGTCATCGAATCAAAAATTCAACTAATTTTTGAGTTGCACGGCTGACCTTGGAACAATAGAGAGATGTCGCAGACGCTCCACCAGATGGGGTTTGTCTAATTTTTGCGTAGTCTCCAATTGAAGGACTCTTGACAGGGAAACGACCCCTCTCAAATGATCCGCTTCTTTTTCTTTGAAACACGCCAGACGAAACCCCTCTTGCAGTTACGGGTGTTCCACAAAGCGACATCTCAAAGAGTGTCAAGTTGTCCTGGGACGCCAGTGGAATCTGAGGCGTCGGGATCCGTGAAATCTCAGGACTCTCTTCTGCTGGATTTATTGTCGGCAACGAGTCTTGGTTATGTCTAGTTAGCAATGGCTGCAGGTTATCAAAATTGGTACAGCCAGTTCTTTTAATCACTGAGCTTTGGTCGGCAAGAAAGGCGCAATTTAAGTTTGAGTTGTATCTCTGAGAACTTTCGAGAGTCCATAAAGAGCCACCACATATGCATACAACTTTTTCCGTTCTGTCACCGCAGTTGAGGTTCTGGTTTTCTTGACTGGCAACACAAGTGCAAGAACGTCTCAGTTTGTGAGGGGCAACTGTAGCTTTGTTTTTACCAAGGAACTTGGCTACGAATCGCTCCAGTTGACGTTTACTTTTACGGAGTGTGTGACCTAAATCAAACGAGTCAACTGAGGGATGATGGTCTCTGCTTTTTTCAAAACTAATAGTGGGGCTCATTGTTGATGCTGCTTAGAATGTCTAGCAGCTCAAGTTTTTGAACAAGATTATTTCAATTGTTTTTGTCGGAAAATTCTAAAACCGAAAGTCTAGCAGCTCAAGTTTTTGAACAAGATTATTTCAATTGTTTTTGTCGGAAAATTCTAAAACCGAGCATAAAGCTTCTTGTACTGCGCTATGTTCACAGACTGAAAAAAAAACAGTAATAAAAGCCGAGCAACATAATAATCATTTTTCAATCATGTTTTATTTTTTAACAGAAATAGGTATATACTGCAATGCATTCTTCATACCTATGAGCGCAACTATTTCATCATAGCACCCGGCCCCTATCTCGGGACCCTGGAAGGAGCTGGAGAGCGAGGAGTCCTGGGATCCCCTCTCCTTCTGCCTCTCTTTTTGTCTCTGCTCATTTATCAGCCGACTCTCCCTTCTCTTCGTCTCCGAAAACTGAGTTGCGATTACCACCAGACACAAGTTCAACATGAAGAACGCTCCTATCTTTAACAAGGACATTTTTCACAGCTATATAGTAAGAATATCAACAATAAAGAAATTGTCAGTAAAATTCCTCGTGATGATTGATGAGTTTTATTTCATACCACTTGCATAATATTGCTACATAATCAATGTTACGTAATTGACAATGTTGCATAATAGTTACCACGATGAGGAAGACGAAGTAGAGGAAGTCGTAGAATGAGTGGCTGTCCTGCACAATGTACATGATATCTGCCCAACCTTCCAAAGAGATCACCTGTAACAAAACACAATAAAAACAACCCATCTGAAGAGTAGAATGGTGATTTTTAGAGAGTAAAAAACTTTCAAAGTAATCTTCACGATTACAATTCTCGAATTTGCAAAAAGTCATCTGAAAAGACCCAAACCCAGAAAGGCAAAATCTACGGCACCGAAAACCGATGTTTTTCTCTGAAACATAAACAGCAAACTATCCAGATATGAGTTTGATACCTGGAAAATGGCGACCCATGCGAGTAGTATGTTGTCGAAGGTGATTGCACCCTGGAAGGGGTTGTCAGCTCCTGCTCTGCACTCAGTGTAATAGGAGCTGAGGTTGATGCAGTGGTCTGACATCACAGCATATGACAACTCCGCCACGCCGGCCTCCTCTGGAAAAATCAATTGCGTTAAAATCTTTTGCCATCAAATAAAGTTCTAAAGTAAGCTATAATTAGTTTTTCAAAATTCAAATAATTAGCTTTTAGCTGCAGAAAACTAGTTTTTGGAACTTATTTCAGCGCTTCCTGGAACAAATGATGCTAATTTTTCATTTTAAATAAATTTTGCAAACAATTTTATGATCAATTTGTCTGCTCAAAACACACTCGAAAAGAGCTAATAAAATCGAAGAAAAAAATCAAGTTTAGTTGTTACAAAAATAATTGTTGCCGAAACTTTCTGATTTTCACACTGTTTTTTGTATACGGTGGAATTTTCATGTCGTATGGCTATTGATTTTGGTCGCTTGTGCATGAACACAAATTTAGTCCATGTTGTTAAATTTCACGCTCGCCATCGATTTTTTTTCTCTTAGATTTGTGGAATTTGATGAGGTCTCGTGGAACATTTTAATGACAATGGCTTTCATTAAGTCACGGAAGGGGCGTTATCTTCATCAAAATAGAGATTATGAATAGTCTAGCAACTTTGATCAGGCGATGAACTGACTACGTGATGTTTCGCTCTAGTGCGGCAGACGTTTTGTGGCCTCATTAGGTAAATCAAATGTCTTCTTTATTGCTTTATTGAAAAAATCAGCAGAGGCTTGAGGGCAATAATTTTTCCTGTAAATATCAAATTTTTAAGATTGAAACCATACAAGAACAAGAACTGGTTAAAATTTTGAAGCAAAAGTGGCTTAAATGAATTTTTTTTCAAGTTTTTGAGCGAGCAGCCTGAAAAAAAATATATTTTCCAGAGCAATTTTGATCACGGTTCTGCATCTTTTCAATCATATTTATTCTGAAGGTTACAAGGAAAACCAATGAAACAGTTCATCATTAATCACAGTTAATAGTTAGAACGATAGAAGATTTGAGATGAAAGAAAGTAACCGAATGTCTTGTCGCAGTAGTTGTGGTTGTGCTGCCATCTAGGGAGGTCCCCACAGTGGAAGTTGCCACCTTGACTGCGGCTGCAGATGAAGAGACCGTAGCCCGGGTAGATACCAGTCTCGTAATAGGGCGGGAGAGGGTAGTCCCTAAACAGATCACAAATCAAACATGGGTAGCTAGTCGCTGTTTATGTAGCACTGAATATTTCAACCTCGGTTATCAATAAAACAGCGAGTAGAAAACAATTTTTTTTTTTTGAATTTTCCGATTTTTTCAGGTTTGTCAGGCGTTTCTTCAGTGACAGAATCATTTTGGCAATTTTTACTATTTTTATTAAGTTGAAGTTTTAACATAGATGAAGTTTTGAAGTTTTTTCGTTATAAAGTATGAAGTTTGCCGTACTTTTCAAGATTTAGAAACCCTTTTGTACGTGACAAATTGAATTACGTGCATAGTTTTTTGAATCATGAAGCTAGCTGGTTTGAGAAGAAAAAACTGTCAAATTTAAATTTATAATCAGGAACACTTTTCAAACAGACCCCGGAAAAACTGATAAAAAATGAAAGTAGTTGCAATTCTTTTACAATTAGTCCACTTGTCAGGAAATCAAAAAGCAGTGAGCATGTCAAGGATGCCTCAAGAGCAAGGTAAAATAGCAGAATTTCTTTGTACGCAGATTTTAACTGAAAAACAAAAGTAAAAAATGGTTAGAAAAAGTCCATCTTCAACATCAGTTTAATAGTTTTTGATTCCACTTACCGTCAAAAATCGCAAAAATTATTCATCTAAATTTTTTGTCCGGTATGTATATTTTTCGAATTTGATGAATTAATTTTGTCAGTTCTCTTTTCGTGAAACTTTGATCAAACTTGATATATCAATTAAATTTTTTCCAATTATTGTATTACTTGTTCATAATTTAAGTGGTATCTATTTTCTACTACATTTAGAACTTTGTTTCATATTTGTTCCGACTTTCGATACGAAAGTAACGGAATATTTGGGCTCGGGGTGGGTTTTTTTTTCTTCAGACAAATTTCGACTTTTTAACTAGCTATTTTTGAGGGAATTTTTTTATCATTCGTAAGGTATTGTTGCCCTGAGCTTAAATTTGAAAAGATATTTTACCTGTGATCATTTTTCATAAAGTTATGGGGGTTTAAAGATTGACATTTTGGCCAATTTGGGACAATTAACGCGCGATATATTTCGCGCTATTAATGCGTAAGCGGAGAGTCAATCCGTCTTAGAAATTGTTGCAAGTTGGTTGAAAGAAGCCTATTTGCCATAATTAATTTGTTACAAGGAGCGAAATCTATCCTTTTCTACTTTATATGGCGTGTGGGGTGATGATTTTTGTTACAAAATTCAAATTTCAAAAAAAAATTTCATTTTGTTTTTTCACATTTAACTTTTTAATGTTATTACTGCCCCATAAACATTAAAAGGCAGTCGGAACTTTCAGGGCTTCGCCCTGATACGAGCAGTCTTGTCGTGCTTTGACTTTAATCCATTTCTTACTTTGATTTTACACTATTGATAGCTGCGAATGGATATTAATATCCGATCACTATTGTCAATGTTTTGATCTATTCGCAAACACAAAAATCCTTGCTTGAAAAAACATCTTTTTTATGTGTTTTGCATAAGCTATCTTTCTTGTTTAGTAAAAAAGAATAAGCGCAGTTTGATTGAATGAATTTTTTCTCAACTCCAAATTATTTGCTAATCCGTTTGATAAAAACTAACTTTTGCCCCTTCGGTTCCATATTTGTTATACAAAGTGTCTAGCATGAGTTTTTTTTGTTAATAACATTCAATCTATAGCAATAAATTTCGGCCATGAGCCTTGAGGGCTCTCTGATTAAGGCTGGCTATATGCTCCTATAAAAATTCTCATCTAAAACCACAGAAAGTATTTCGTTTCCTACTTAAAACCTAGCTCTTGATTTTATATTTGGGTATTAGAAAATAGCTGTTTTCTACCAAAACTAAAATTGATCGTTAGCTTTTTTTCCATCCATTCATTTTTTTTGCTTTAAGCTTAATCCTTTGATGCAAGTATAAATAATTGTCAGAAACGGAAAAAAAAACAATTCATAATAGACAGAGGTAATCTAACATTCGGTTGTACTTGTTCCAGCAAAAGTTTAGGTTGCACAAAAAAGTTTTTGGGATCCAGTGACGCATTATGTTGTAGTTCTTTTTAATAATTATTTGAAATGAGAAGAACAAAAATGTTTTTGAGTTGCAGAAAAAGTCATTCTGAATAAAAAAATTTAACAGCTTCTCAGTCTTTTCTCTGGTACTTTGAATTAATGCTTAGCAGAAGGCGATCATTTTAAATATTGTTAGTGAGACCAACTCATAAGTTTTTACCATATTTAGATTTTCAAAATTGCTCAGAAAATTAAGGTTGAACCTCGTAAAACTATTTAAGAAAAACAAAAAAATGTTTTTCAAAATTAGTCTTACAAACAAAACTATGGCCTAAAATTATACTTGCAAAGCAACCATCATCCCGCTTTAAGTGATATTTTTTTAATAGAAAACGAATCGACTCAAAGTTAGCTCAGCATATGAAAGCTTTGCATTCTCTCCAATGCCTTAAGATTCAGATTCCTAAGTCGTACGCAGTTTTTTCTACCATTTTCAACAATTGATTTTCAAAATTTCAATGAATAGATCAAAAAACAAACTCATTCAAATGCGAACGAACAACTCAACGGCTAATTCGTATTTCAAACAGCAATTATTGAAGCTTTCAAGTCTGAAATGGGAAATTCTGTATTCCACAGATTTAAGAAGTTCTTGGAAGGAAGTTGGAGCAATAATTGAAGCAGTAACCCAGGACCAATCAGCTATAAGATTCAAGATCAAAAGTCTGATCTCGCAGTATAATTAATGATTCAGAATAGCAGCCGAAAAATTCACAGGTTCAATCTAAGCCTAGCCTAAATCTTGAGTACTTTCAGAACTTTAATTTCACGACATATAAACAATTTTAGGGTTTTACTCTCTTATCTAGAAGCAAAATTGGATACGATTTTTCAAAAATTGAAATCAGTAACGGATTTAAGGTGGGAAGGGGGCGAGGGGCGGAGCTCCTTCACCGCTTAGGGATTCGACACCCTGACGACACAAAGGTTTATAATAATGATTTGGGAGAGCTCGGAAAGTTAATTTGGTCTGAAAAAGACCGATAAAAAGTTTAAAGTTTGTTTGAAAATCTGCCGCCCCTCGAGAAAATAATAAACCGGAATCAGCTTGAAATATTTTGCCGAGTGATGTGAGTATAGATTGAAAAAGACACATTTTTATTTCTTTACTTTGCGGACGCTTACCTTTAAACACTTTGGAACTGTACCAAATTAACATGAAAATGCAATTTAATAAAGTTCAGCCCATTCCTAAAATAAAACTACTCCACTTTGCGAAAAAATTATCAGTGCGGAATTCGCCACATTACACGATAATTTTTTGATGACATCATCAGGGATTCTCGGAAGTGTCCAACAGCAAGTATACTCACGTGACGTTGATGTGTTGTATCATGGTGTGATTGAGGAAACACCTGTTGCGCAGTTTGCCCGCCCACAGCTGCACGGCTATGATTCCGAAGATGAAGAAGACGAAGAAACAGAGCATCAACACATTGCCCAACATCGGCAAAGTGTCCAGTAGCAACATCACTAGGATCCGAAGACCTAAAGAGGCACCACTTTAGAATCAACTGGGTTCAATCAGCTTTCAACTAGCATTAAGGCTACATGCGAAGGCCTCAAGAATGTTTTTAGTTCTCTGTGACTCCGAAGATCACAACAATCGAATTTTCATGGCTACTATTTAGACAGCCTTCGAGGAGAGTATCAACAATGTGTTAAATATTAGGTATAATAACTTTTAATAACACTACGAGGCCAAACTGTGCATGGCATAAGTTTTGTTGATACAATTTGCAGAGGATCATCAAAAATATGTGCAGTCTGGATAAGGGCAGTCCATTTCTCATCATTTCCGCATCTTTGTAGTTCAAAAGGGATCTTTTTAACTATTTCCCCGTTTTGCAAATGGGGGAGCATTCGCTACTAGGTACAAAATTCAGTACGTATGTTTAACCGTTGAACCAGTTCATTACGAGGGTGGCATTTTGTTACTTCGTACCAAAGGGGATGGTTAAAGAGATCCTTCAAAGGCTTCCAGTTACCTTGTTGATACTAGAGCGTGCTGACGAGAATTTTGTCCCAAACTTATTGATGTACACGAATGATAAGGGTGTCCAATGGCATCAACGTTTCTCTATTTCTCGAAATAATAAAAAAAATAATCATAATAAGATTGAGTTAAGCCCGCAAGGCGGGGATTAGTTGCTCTTAGTCATTGATAGCAAAGTTAGTAAAATAAACTTAAAAACCAACACTCTGGATAAATCGAGTATTTGAATGTTTGAACTTTGTCAACCAATAACAGGTTCAATTTTTTCTAAAGATTACAAGATCTCGAAAAGGATCATAGCCAGGCAAATTGTTCGATCTTGCGAGGATGTTTGACAATTCTGCGACACAGTAAAAGAAATTTTCACAAAATTTGCATCGTGTTATCATTGGCATTCTTGTTTCTCACTCGATTTGAATCAAAGCCATTGTCGATTGTCCAAAAACAAAGAAAACTTATCAGCAACTTGTTATTAAAAATGGTATTTAGCAAAATCAAATCGTTTTTAAATAACGTCAGTGAAATTGGCAACAGTTTACTTTTATTCAAGTAAAAAACATAATCCTCATCAATCAATTCATGTTTTTTGTAACACCATTTTATGCATCGTCGTTGATTTTTTTCTATTCCCCTACATTGGGTTTTTGTCGCAAACTAAACTGTAGATGCTGTAGATGATAGAATGCAGATTTGAAAAGCGAAACCCGAACAGAGCTACTCAGTGAGTTTGGCGAAGATCTTCTGATGTAATTAAATTGCTTGTTTGCATTTTTAAGACTTTCGTTGATGTGTAATATCCATGACATTTTGAAATTGCACCAAACAACAAGGTCTTTCACCGTGTCTGTTAAAACTACCTGTTCTCCATCAATAGAAGAAATATCGCGTAAAGGGTATCTCTTGTTTAGTTTTTAAAATCTATTTTGTTCAAACTTGTCAAAATTGAAGTCAATTCTGTTTTCTGCTGCCCAGGTTATTACATTGTTGAAAACTGTTTGAATAAAAAAAATGTCAAAGCAATTTCCAATAATTTTCGCATCGTCAGCAAATAAAAAGGAAGTGTTGTCAACAATTTCCTGTATATCGTTTCTAAAAATTAAAACAAGAACACTGCAAAAATTGATCCTCGTCTTCCATCACTCGTTATATTGCGGGAATGAGACAATATATTACGAAGAAAAACTTTTTGTTTTCTGTTTCCGAGATAAGATGCAAAAAATGAAGAAACTCATTGTCGAAGCCTATTTTGGCAAGCTTGTTGAAAATCAGGTTATGGCTAATAGAGTCGAAAGCTTTTGCAATATCTAAAATAGTGTGAGAGGTAATTCTCCTTCTTCAAATTTCTTGTATATAACATCGCAGTTCATTATAAAGTTTTTCGCAGTCGAATGAGCTTTTCTAAATCCATGTTCGTTTTTACACAACTTTCATTGAATGAACCCTCTTATCTTGTTATATAAAACTTGTTCAAATTTTAGGGCGAGAGCAGGATTTATTGAAATGGACCTGTAATTTGCAATTTTCATATGAGAAGCTTTTTGTGTAAAGGATTTTTGTGTGCTATTTTCCAGATATCTGGATTCTCTTTCTCACTGACTATGCAATTAAACAGTTCAACAATATCCTTCAAACAGAACTGTAAAACAAAATTAACATATTAGGAGATTTACCATCAACTGAATTTGATCTTGATTTGCATTTACTCAATTCGTTAAGAATTTCGCATTGCGAAACGAAAAAATCTGATAAGTATATTCCTGGAAAAATACTTTCGCTGGTTCGTTGTCTATGTTGTACATAGATGAAAATAACTCGTTAAAAGCCTAGCAGATTGCAAAATCAGAGCATAAACTGAATTTTTTGTACTCATGCTTGCACCGTTTAACTTTCTCGTCAATATATTCTCACTACACCCATTTTTTATAAGCAACCGCTTAAAACCAACTGAGTCTCAAAACGTTCTAAAAATTAAGTAATTTTTAACCAACTAGCGAGGCTCGGAAAAAATAAAGGTACACAAAAAAGTTTATTCAAAAAAGTTTATACAATAGTCAAGATGAGGCACTACTAATTATCTAGTCAGAGTTAAGCAACTACTCAACATTTTTGAGCCTTATATTCCAATGTTCAGCTAAGCAACCGAGCCCCAGCCCGGCAATCGGTTGCTTATAAAAAATGGTGTAATATATCCACACGGCAAAATTGTCTTTGAGCAGTTTTCAAGGAGTCTAGGCATGACAGATTTTGTTAATTCTACTTACTTGGAACTCGATTGATTGCCCTCAGTGGTCTCAGTACGCGCACAGTCCTCACAGCTGAGATGCTTACGTTTTCCAGGTTGACAGTGTACTCAATTATACTGAAATAGAATTAACCGATAAAAGGATGCGAAATTGGTTAGCAGTGAAAAATCATCGTAAAGTTAAGCAATTAACCTATTTTACAGACGGCGGTCCCAAAATTAGAATTCGTTTTTTATAGGATTTTTACATGACCTATGCATTTGAGAACAAAAAATCTAGAAGATTCTTGTTGAGTGAAGATTCTTGTTCTACATAAAGAGCTCCGAATAAACCCTCAAAAACTAGATCTTTTGCTTCCGGCTATCCATAATTCATCAGGGTTTGATTGACTTTAATGATAGATATATCGTTGACATCTGAGTTGGCGTAAGGGATTATTATAGGCATCCATTTGACCACTTAAACTATATGTATTGACCACTTTGTTTCATAAGCAATCACTTGTGGGGTATTGTGACTTTCCACCTTCCTGTAGTATAACTGAAAGGGCAAATAATTTCTGTTGCAAAAAGTTACATGGAAAAATAGAAGTCAGTACTATGAAGATTTAATTTTAAGTTAAGTTAAAAACTTCATCTAATCTATTCCAGGTTCAATTAATTGAAGCTTGATCGATAATGCTAAATTAGCTGATATTGACGGGGAAATGACTTGCGAGCTATCATGACATTCGACCATACTAAGTATAACTGATCGGACAAATGATTTCTGCTAAAGAAAAAATCAATGAAAGATAGAAGTCATAGTAAAATTTTAAAAAATTAATTTAAAATAAGAAAGTAGCTTCATCTGCTTCAGGCTTCCTTAATCCGTGCTTGATCGATAATGTTAATTCAACTGATATAGATTATTCCTAATTTCAATTATATTTTTAGAACAAGAATCGGAAGAAAAAAAGATTAAGTATTATTTTTGCAGAACTACTATTAACTATGGCGCAGGGTGCTTTTCTTCTCGATTTTGACTTCCTCAAACAAATATTGAGGGTGTTTAATGTGGTATCATATGTATCATATGAAGTTTTTTCAGTTGTGATTTGACTTCCCCAAAAAATATGTCTCATTCTTGAGAAAATAGTAATAAATTTTTTTCCTTTTTTAGAGTTTCAGACCAAATTTCACAAAAATTGAGGACAATGACAACTAAAATTTGATGAAATTAAATTGTATCAACTTCAAATGTATGTTTTTTATTTGCTAGAATTACCTCTTATTTTGCAATTAATTACCTAATTTAGCTGTTTTTTTTTTCTACAAAAAACAACAAATATTTAGGATAAATTTGAAATGGCAGTCAAAAATTTTTGTTCTAATTGCTCAGTATTTAGCTATCATTGTTGGGAGTATTTAGTACGAGACTAAATGTTTTTGTTTTAAATTTAGTGGCCACGGCGTAGACGACTAGATATGTCCGCTCCAAATTAATGCTAAATGTAACACGACGGCTGTTATTTTACGACTGAAACACGACTGCTAGAGGCAGTCGGAACATTCAGGGAAAAATCTGAATATTACGTCTGCCCCTTAACTCATATCGAATAGTTTTTGGGGGAAAATAATGAAAAACTATACGTTTTGGACAAATCGAAGATCAAGTATAAAAACTTGAGTCGGACAAACATAGTACTACCGATAAGCTATCCTCAAATCAATTTGAAACGAGTTTCTTGTGCTGGATAATTCCCCACACATAAATAAATCACATTAGGTTTTCAGAATATTGAATAAAATTTTCAAAGTGCTCATTAAATAGTCCAGAGCATGGTCAAATTGACAACTTTCAAACTCCCACAACATTAAAAAAATGATCGTAGGTAAAATATGTCTTTTAATTTGATTTCAGGGAGTCAATATCTTCAATGGGGTATAATTGTTTTGTCAAAAAAAATTATTCAATCACCGAAAAATGATTGCATAAAAACACCGCCCCAAGCATTAAAATTCCATTTCCTATAAAAATCGGAACAATTAGCAGGATAAGTTCTTTTCATCGCTAACAAAAGTTCAACTCACCAAAATTTCAATGATTTTGTTTGAGAAATAGGGGGCTCCCAACAATTAGTAAATAATAAGTTAAAAAATATGACGGATACATTTAACAAAATCTACCCCTTAGAAAAAGAGGGTGAGGTTGTAATTTAGATCAAATCAGCAAATTTTTTACCAAATAAAAAACAATTTTAAAAAGAGATTTTTCTAGAAAGCTCTCATATTAAAATATTGTCTTTACTTAGAGAGAAAAGATTCGTTTGTAGGTACCAAATGGAGAATTTTGTTAAAACTATCTGTTTTGTCTCTTTGAAACAGTTGTTTTCAAAAACTATTTTTGCAATCTGAACGATATAGATGCTATGACTTTAAAAGAATCCAAAATCCTTGGCAAAAAAAAAATTCAAAAATGACTTTATAATTTTGTCTTCTATCTATTCTGGTCGCAAAATGATGTACTTTTTCCAACATTTGAAATCAGATATATACCAACTTTTATTGTGCGTTTTTGTGCCTTTTTTTCTTCTCAAAAAATTGGGCATCCTAATGCAGACCTAATATGTTATCAAATGGGCTCATATATGCTCTCGGGTTAAGAAAAAAAACAGCTTTTAGTCGGGTAAATTTGATATGTTTTTGTTAAAATTGAAGTTGAGTGAGCGGCTTAAATGTTCAGATTTAAATACATTTGCTTAATACTCACATCTTTTCAAAGCTAATATTTTAAGAAACAAATTGATTGATTCATAATTCATTCCTTTGAAGCAATGAACTGCTTCTAATTAAATAGCAACAATGAATAATGAAGAAAAAATTTTCAACATGAGAACTTTTGGCAAGCAGAAATTTTTTCATTCAATTTTGGTTGAAAATTTTTGTTCTTTTAGTCTCTAATGGAGAAGAAAGGAGCTATGACCTGGACTTTTTTAGAACTGAATAATGATTTTTCCCAACAACTCAAAAACAGTAGGAAACAAAGAAAAAAATGAAATTTTTTGGCAACAAAACAGAACTTAACACAGATTTTTGTGATCGGATTATTAAGGGTCATTTGCATACCAACCAGCTAATTTGCTATTTTTCTCGAATTTGACAAAAATTTAAAGAGTTCGGCTGACCTTGAGAAGACTATGAAAGCGTCTAGTTTGTTCCAGGTGTCTCTGAAGTAGCCTGCCTCTCCCCAGCAACCCATGGCCAACACCTTGGTGGCCATCTCCACCATGAAGAAGATGGAGATACACAGGTCGAGGAACTCCAAAACTTGACACCTGAGCAAAAAATAAACTGCCCAAAATAGTGGCAAAATTTAGTTTTTGCTGGAACACGTTACAATTTTGTGAATATGTTTCAAAATGTTCTCATCATATATTCTTGTCCGATTGAAAATGCAAACTCTTTTTTATAGATGCGTCCTTGCTCCGATTCGAACCTCTTACACTTGCAAAGTTACAAAGTACTGACCTCCTGGATACACAGGTGTCTCTGTCCTCGCATGGCTGGAACATGCCAAGAGTGACGCAGTTGAGCAGGATGACAGCCATGCTCACTTTCTCAAACCACCACGCTGAGTACTGAAAATACAACAATACACAATAGGTGGCCAGGAAATTGAGGCAATCCTTACCTTTTCGAGTTGATTGTGGATTCCGCGACAAGACAGGAAAAACTTTGTTGCAAAATCTACCACACTTAAATTTTGGGGAGTGATAGACAAATCAGTATATGTGAAAAGAAGTCAAAAATTACGTTTGCATGAAAAATAATCTGAAAAAATTCAAAACAACAGCGCCATTGGCAAAAACGAAGGCTTGCTCCGCTTCACTAGGTTGTACTTAAAATAGCCAAAAAAACGATATGCTGGTGAATCCGCTTTTGACGCTTATCCGGATCATTCAGGTATCACCAGCACAAAAGAAACCTATAGATTGTTTGAAGTTTGAATTCATGAGCCTCCTTTTTTGTGAAAATCAAATAAACCTCATGAGATTTCATTATCATTGTGTCTTTTCAAGGTCAAAAACCATTTGAATTAAGAGAAGAAAGGCAAAGGATAAATATTCAAAAGGTAAAGGACAAGTATTCACGGAAAATTTCGAAACAGATTATTCTCTAGCAAATACTCAGCTAAAGATCTCACTGAAAAATGCAGAATTTTTCCTCTTAAGCCGCAGGATACATAATTTGAAATTGAAATGTTTTAATTGCATTAAAATTAAAGGTTATTGAAAGTATATACTTCAGGTTTGAAAAACTGTTCATGTAAAATTATCTGAGTTCTCAACTTTTTTTTTCTGCTAATACATCTTTTTCTAAATGGTTACTGGAGAAAAAATTCAAAAGGGCAAAATGTTTGCTTAAAGTTCAATCAATATACGTCATCACTAAAAATTCTACATGGCTAAATAAATGCAAACTTTACAAGAATCTTGCAAGATTTGTATTCTTAAAAAAGAATTAAAAAACATAAAAATCTCTAAGTATAGAATCATAACAATCACCGGGGCTGAGATTTGGGACTGCAAAAAGCTTTTAATTAGCAAAAAAAATGTTTGCTGCAAGAACCTCGCAAGATTTGTACAAGATTTGCATTTCGTGTGCCTAAAACTACAAGCAATCCCATTAGTACCATTAGTGCCATTAGTACCACTAGCACCCTTGTTTGCTCTTACGCCTGACGAGTTGATTTTTCTATTGAATAAATAGTTCAAAATTGAGGTTTTTCATTGAGGTTTTTTTTTTTGCTACATCTTGAATATTTTAAAGTTTTTTGTTAAAATGTGTCTATATGCTGAAATGTCAAAAAAGTGATGCTTAAAAGTTCAGATAGAAAGTTCCTATCCTCGGCGGTGACAGATACGGTTGTTGAGCAGTCTGTTTTTTTCTGAAAAGTAAAAAAATCTTGCTTCTAGTTTTACAAAAATCATATAAATTTTTGTTTTGGTTTAACGTCTGAAAAAAAATACGAGGTAAAATAAAGTACTGAAAAGTGGTTGCTGAACTAAAGTTAAGTGATGTATTGACATTCGATATGAATTGTTTTTGTACCACTTCACGAAGTGGGAAGAAAGACGGCAAAGCTGGTGTTATTTTTTCTTTGCTTTTGATCACCTCAATGAAAGTATGTAAGACGTAAAATGTGTTATCATGTTAAAAACAAACTTTTATGTCTTAATTCGGCGTCCAAAAAGTTAACGTCTCAGTGTCGCAGACGATTGTTCTGAATTTTTCAGTTGTTCAGTCTGAATGACACAAAACTAACGAAAGATTTGATGAGAGACTGAACTGTCACTTTAATTCTACTGCAATTTTGGTATCAACTTAGCTGTTATTGTTCCGACTTTCGATATAAAAGTAACGGAATATTTGTCTATTTTTCTTCAGACAAATTTCGACTTTTTAACTAGCCATTTTTGACGGAATTTTTTTATATCATTCAAAAGGTATTGTTGTCCTGAGCTTAAATTTGAAAAGATATTTCACTTGTGATCATTTTTCGTGAAGTTATGAGGATTTAAAGGTTGCCATTTTGGCCATTTTGACCAATTTGGGACAATTAACGCGCGATATAATACGAGCAGTCTTGTTAACTTTCGTTTGAACTCTTTTGATCAAAATTGATTGCTCGTTACTGAAACAAAAATTTATCGAAACGAAAACAACAGTTTTTTTCATGTTTTCGATTTGTTTTCTCAATGGTTGAGATCGGAAACTCTTTGCCACCATCATTGCAGCCGGTTGTCTTTGTTTTTTTTGTTACCTTATAGAAAACATTATTACCTGGATCATATATATGCGACTGACAACATACACTTTTTTGGCTGCTATAATTTGGCTATAAATGATACAATTGTCACCTGGGTTGGCCAAAAACGCTTGTCATACAACTTTTATATACGGAAATTGCGTATCATACAAATTCATACAAGACAATACGCACAGAACATAGTAAAAAAACACTTAAGATAAGCATTTTCTCAAATATAGAAGTTGTAAGCTAGCCATTTTACTATAAATGAAAATCTAGGACAAGCATATTCCATAAAAGAAAATTTTAGATGTGGCATCGTTTCATCTTTTGTCCCAAAACACAATTGCCTAGGTTTTCTATTTTGAAACAAAATTCATTGGGTAACTGACAAGAATCGTAAATGTGAACTATTTTTTGCCAAGAGAGTTGTTGTGTTTATTCCACTCAGAATTATAAATAAAAAACCGTAACCTTTGTATATGGTTAAAAAAATTTTGCTCCAAAAAACTAAGTGATTGAAAAATGTGGCCTATTTTATGCAGAATAAAATTTACCTGATAATATACACAAAATTTCGAAGTCCCTTTTGATTCTTTTGCACTATAATTTCAGCCTAGACTATATTATACACAAAAATGCGCAAATTTCTTGCATTCACTTTTCTTTCGGAGACTGTTTGTTTGAGCGTAGGATTGGTTTTGCTACAAAAAAACTCTCCAGAAATTTGGAATTTTCATTTCGGATTTTTTTTCTAGCCATGTAAAACAAATGCTTATCATACAATTTTCATATTTGAAAATTCTATATTAAACATTTTTTCTAGACACTTATTGCATGGAATTGTATGATGAGCAATTGTGTTGTATGAAATTGTATGATAAGCAGTTTTTTGTGTATGCATGTCAACATGAAAACATTAGAGTACCACCAGTAGCGGTGTTTTTATGTTTTCTAAATAAGTAGAACTTGGCTTAATTTGAATATGACAGATAAAGCTACCATGAAAAATCTAGCCAGAAGATTGGATTGATGTTTGCACAAAATTGGAAACTCCTTTAGCCTTTAATTAAGGAGACAGTTTTACCAACCATCTTGATGGCGATGTTTCTAGGTGGAGTCGTCTGATGGAACACATAGAGACTCTTGTAATTCAAATTAGGGTGTGGTCTCTCCTGTGACTCATAACTGTCTGCCGATGACTCACTGCCATCCGAATCGATTCCTTCCATTCCCTCCCCATCCTCGTCTTCGTTCACGCATGTCCCGAGTTGAAACGACTTTTTGTTATTCTGGTCATTTCCTGCTTTTTCTTCCAAGCATTCCATTCCTAATTTCTGGCGAAAATTGTTGCTTGCCGTGCGAAATAAAGCTGATAAAGATGGCGGTCGGATTATTGGAGGCTTCAAATCACCTGTTATTGGATTCGACGACTCATAAATGTCGTTGATGGACATCGTACAAATTAGTTCCGCTTTGAATCGTGGATAAACTTCTTTTACTTAGAAAAAATGGGCAAGCTTCTTAATTGGCGTTGAATAAACACTATTTTAGTTCTCGTTTATCGCATTTTAATTTTTTAGAATTGTTTTCAGATGAAGTTAGAAACTTATTCAGAGTTGCTTGTAATTGCAGCCACAACCTTTTGAAAAAAAATATGTTTTTAGCCGCTGTTTTGTTTTGTTTGGTTTCTTTTTTGGTAAAGTAAGAAAAAAAAATTGGTTGAAAATAAAGAAGATTTTTTACCGCGGATGTAAAAGCAAATTAGGAAAAAGATGCGACGATAATTTCGGTTGCGCTTTTCGTTTCAGCTTTGTTTACTTTGCAATCTCTCTATGCTATCTTTGATTTCAGTCTAAAAGCAGACATATTTGAAAGCAAACATTTTTAAAGATCAACCAGGAAGTTTTTTTTTCAAAAATGAACCATATTTGCAGAGTCAACAAATTTCGGTCTGAAACTGACCAAATTAAGTGTGTAATCATCAATGAATATTTTAAACTTTAATAAAAATGTGGAATTTCCGGAAAATTGAAAAAAAATATATATATATATATATATATAATGGAAGGACTATTTATCAAAAAAATCATAAATAAATGCTTATTGATTGTCACAGTCTGTATTTCAAATTTGTCTGCTTTAAAAGCTGTCGGATAATTGTGTCTTGTACTTTCCCTTTTGGCAGCTGGTTAGAAGATGAAGATGGCATAGTATATTAAATACTAAGCATGGTATGATAGGAGTAAGTTGCAGAGTGCACTGGCAAGAATAAGATTGTTTGCAGATGAGGTGCTGGTGGCATGATGCTGCTAAACAACAAAGAGAGCGCCAATAAATTTCAAAGTAAGCCAAAACAAAAATAGGCTATAAATGATGGATAGCAAATCAAGGCAGCCTTCTAAATCTTAAGAACAGCAAAAAAAAACGAAATACTATACCTTTTTCTCTGTCCAGTGAAACTAAATAAAAGGTAACCAAAGAACTTCGCAGAAAAATTCGAAGCAATAAAAAACAAATAGAAAAATAGACGCTTTTCAACTAGAAATTCCAATTTGAAACCAACTCTGATGGTTATGGACTTAAAAATCAAAGTTTATAACTTAATTATTTGAGCATTTCGTGATGGAAGTTCTCTGGCTTTCATTACGAAGGTTCACAATGCCAAACTTTTCTTCCTTAAAACGAAGACTGAAAAAGAAACCGAAAAAATTTAAGCGCAAATTTTTGATATTATTCTTTAACATATGCAAACAATCAAGCTACCACAGTAAAGCTAATATTCCAACTAAATCCAAAATTTGAGCATACTTTTTGCTTCTTTTATAAGTCAGAGAACTTAAATTAAAATCAAAATCAAAATTGTATATTTCGTAATGCATCAAATTAAACTGCGGAAAATCCGAGATTAAAATAAATGAGGCAACTGAACATCATTTTAAAGGAACAAAAAAAGAAGTTACTTTTTCAGTTTACTATTAAAATGAGATGCAGCAACACAATGGTATGTTTTCAAGTACGTTTTTTGAAGTATTAGCGGCGTTGGCTGGATACTGAATAGAAATGGGTAAGGTTTCCTCCTTCTAAAAAATACACTGATTTTTTTCAGAGAGCGAAGAGCGCATGAAAAGGCGCAATTCGAAAATTTAGTGACACGCAACGGTTAAGTGAAAAAAAAAGAAAAAGATATCTAGAAAAAAGAAAATTCAAATTGAAAAATTCTTATTTTTTTTAACTCAGCACATAGGAATTAAACTTTCTAAAAGGCCTAATTACTCAAAATATTTTTTACAATGTAATGATAAAAATAAGATTTGATATTTTCTCTACTTTTTTACTGATTCGATTCGTTTTGGGAATATTGGGGATAACAAAATGATGTGAAAATTATCCTTTTTATCAGCAGGAAAAAGAAGATAAGACATGAATTATGGATGTATAGAAAGATAGAACAAAATGAGCAATTGGGAAAAAGTACCAGTGCATAGACCATGTAATTAACTCTTCCAATGATAGTTTGAACAACTAATTTTCAGACAGACGTAAAAATCAGAGCATCTCGCTTGGCTAACACAGAATTATTTCAAGTGCGAGTTATTGACGCCGTGCTTACCTTCAGGTTCATTTATATGCGTTGAGAAACTTAGATACTTTTGAAAGGTATAATCATAAATAGATGGTACACAACCTCATTTGAGATTAAGAAAGGGTTATTAAGAAAACAGTTGATGGTTAAATTTTGCCATGAATCCATTAAAAATTGAGCCTTGCTCTAATCAAAGCTGCAAAAATCTGTATCGTTACGAAGAGCACGGAAGAGGAGACGCGCAAATCAATACGAGAGGGAAAATTATGAAAAACACAACAACAACAAAATAAAGTGGAGTAAAACTGGTAAAATAAACATCCAATCAACAAGATTGAGACCAATCCATTCAAGTCTAATCCCCGCAATCAACAAACAAACAGGTCCTTCCCACTTTCAAACCGCAAGATTGACAGAGTCTGATGTATTCATGGCCAAAATTGCTTCCTTCAGATTTACAAAATCTCAGTCTAGTTGGAATTTAAAACGAAGCACGGAAAGATTCGTCCACTGAAACATTTGTCATGCACGAAACGAAATGACTGATAGTAAATTTTGATTGAAGAGACAAAATGAAATTTTTTGACAATTACACAACAAACAGGTTGCTCCAAAAAGAAACAGAGAAGATCTGCAACATTCAAAGCGTGCTAGCCCACACTCAGTAAAAAGAGAAAATAATCGAGTGAAATACAATAATAATTTTACCTTTAAAAGAGTTATCATTAAGTATAAGCTCTAAACTTAGAGTTTTAGGAACCCATCATAATACAAATTGTTTCAAGAATTCAAAATAGAGTGTAACTTTTGTAGAAAAATTCTTTAAAATAGTTATAATATGTTATAATTTTTTTTACAAATAAGTTAAAACAGCCTAAAGATATCTTATTCTTGGTTATAATTTTCTAACAATCAGTAAACGTGACATGTCTCGCCACATTTTGGTTCATCTGAACACAAAGTTTTACCACGAAACAAAAGTTAAATATATAGCGCAATTCGATCTGGCTTCTACGGGCGATATTTGAATTCGCTGATTTTGGTAATATTTGAAAAATTCAAAGCTCCTGCTTACTTTCGGCTAAAGGCACGGTTGTAAAGGCGCGGCTGTTAAAAATCATTTTTATAATCTAGCCGCACTGACAAAGTTGAGATTGAAATCGATAAAATTGATTTTTTATTCATTGCTTACAAAATGGATTTAGATGGATTTTCGCAAGGGAGTGAAAATCATCAAAATCTCAACAAAACTAATTTAGCTTAACTAATCATTTTGTTGCGAAGCATGAGAAAATATGTGTGCTCGAGAAGTCTCTATCAGAGCTGCAGACAGTCTCCAGCAGAAAGTCTCAATCAGAACTGGAGAGTTTTTCATCGCCAACTTTTGCGTTTAAGGGATTTCATTTTGAAATTGTGCAAAACTAAGACTTTGCGCGGTAATGCGAAGTAAAACTTCGCCAAAATGTTCAATGTCGTTTTATAATATCAACTTGTTTCGCAAATATCATATTATTAAAAACTCAAACTAGAAAAGTTCATTTTCAAAGCAGAAAGTTTAGATCTTAGTTATCCTCGTAATTTTTTGTAGTAAAAAAATCACAACAAAAAGTTTTAATTCAAAACTTAAAGATTTTGTTTGATAACCTAGAAAGTCTGAATACAACCTGTATCTAATCTGTATAAAATTAGTATACAAAAAATCATTAAAAATCTACTTAAATCGATTCAAGTCAACTTTTTTGTTACTAAAACTTGTAGGAAAGTAAAACCACAGAAAGGATACAAATTGATTTAGAATGAATTTAAATTTATTTTTAAGCTACATTTTTGTTTCAAAATTTATAATTTTAAACTAGATTCAAATTATTTTTTTTTCTATTCTTTCTGCTACATTATCTGTAGAAAATCGATTCCAATCCATTTCCGGTCAGAGACAGAGAAAGGTAATGAGAAAGAGGAAATTGCCAAAAGCCAAATTTTTCAGAGCATTTTTTCGATTTCAGGTATTTTTTTTGAAAAATTTCACAGCAGCTCGAGTTTTATTCGGAAGGGTTTTGAAGTCTGATTTCTACTCAATCCCATCTTAAATTCATTTGTGGTAAACAAATTTGTGTATAAAATAGTTGGAGCCTCCCTTCATTTTGGTGTAAAGCTTCCCTTCATAAACACTCAAACCAAAATCTTTTAAATATCTGAAAATAAATATTTGACATAAATCTATGCTGACAATTTTTGATGACAATTTTTACAAGTGAGATGACCTACTTAAGAGAGTGCTATTTCTTGACATAATTTGAATGAGAGCATGCTCGAAAAAAAATGCAATTCATTTGTGAAATTTTTTCCAGAAAGACTCGAAAAAGACAGTTTTGGAGTTTTTCCTCAACCATTGACCTGTGGCACTTAGTTTTGATTAGTTCGAAAAAATTAAGTCTTCATAGTGTTTTCAGAGAGCTCGGAAAATAGTTTTGGTTAATCTTCTGAATATTTCTGAGCCTTTTTTGAGGAAATAACCCAATCTGCGAACAATGCGACATTATTTTAAAGATTTCAGTTTCTACGTCAATTTAAACAAAAAAAAATTGCTCTAGATTGAGTTAGATGGTCATGTCGTATCCATCATGAAAATTAAAATGTAGAAATTAAATCCGTCTGGAAAATTAGAACATCTGCACTAAGACGTAATAAGCCCTCCAGAAAGTCACTAAAAACATAGATTTGTTAAGTTAAATACCTGGTGATGAACTGAAGGCAAGAAATGTCATATTTATAAGCTAATACTGAAGCTGTGGCCAAAATAAATCCTTGTCAAAATGCTCCTGCTAATCTGAATCATTCGGAGCTCCAATCAGGCTAGAAAAGTCAGACTTGCACGCCTGCAGTTTTATGTTTTCCTATCTGCATTTCCGCTAATACAAAATAATAAGTTTGATTCTTGAAATTCGTCTGGAGTGTTAAACTGAAGGCAGTTGGCCCGATCACTTAACACTAGCCGGATTTTTCTAATCACCGAAATTTAATCTTTGTGGATTTCAAACAATTTATATTAAATTGTTAAGGTAAATACATTTATTCAGTCGAAGTTTGACAAGCGACAAGATCATATCATAATTTACAGGCTTCAACCGAACAGTTTTCACCTGAAGCTGAAGTTTTTATGCTGACAGACTAAACAACCCTGTGGTTAGAATTTGAAACATTCCTAGTAATAACATATTGCTAGTTAAGCTAACGAAACTTCTGAATTGTTTTCCTTAAGTGAATT